TATTCATCGGCAACGTCAAATGAAGTGCCCTTCGTGCAGCGACACTTTTTCAAGCCACCGAAAGACCCCAATGTGCTGAGGGAGTGGAACAATGCGGCAGGCCGTGCAAACTTCGAAGTTACTCAAAGATCATACATATGTGATCGTCACTTTGATGAAGCGGACATTTGCACCTCCTTCCAGCATGTTGTGAATGGCGAAACAGTCTCGATTCCGCGAGGACGCTGGGAACTGAAGAAAGGTGCGGTACCGCGGCATTTTGCTAATTGCGCTGAGCTTGATTTGAAGCTTTGTGTAGAAAATGTTGGCACAAATGCAGCAAGCGTGCTAGTGGCCGAAGATGACATTACCCAGTTCTTCAGAGTGAAAGTGAGACGTGCACTGAAATGCTTGAACACGAAAACAGGGCTGCCTCAAATGCTGAAAGCATGGAAGTCATCATGAAAGAAAGCTCCACAGGTGAACATTGGTTTGGTGGCATAGAAGACTTGCCCGTGTATGGAGCATGGTGTGTGCAACACACGGATGAGCGTGTTGTTTTTTACAAACTTCAAGAAATTGGTGGCGTAGTTTTTATTGAAAGAGCTGTCGTTATAAACAAAAACTCGACCGTTGTTGTCAGCGCTAAAGGGAAACTTGTGCCGGAATCGTCTTACACCTTTATTAACAGTGACAAGCTCAATTTTACCACCTTGAAAGACGCAGCGCCCTTTCTTCATCTCATTGAGAGCCTGGGTATCTGCAATGGTTTTGATTCTCGTTTATGTCCTTTAATATCAACTTCTAAGACGGCTGAAAGGTCTGCAACAAAAAACGCAGCCCCCGGACACGTGCTCGCCAAAATAGTTCTTGATGCAATCGTGCAGCTACGCAAACACAACGCCATAGTCGTCGCAGTAATCAGTGATGGCGCCAGCACGAACAAAGCAATGTGGTCCAACTTTGGCATATCAGGAAAGCTTCACACAGCAAACCACAAAGTTCAGCACCCATGCGAGCCAAATCAAAGCCTCTACTTCCTTTGCGATGTACCCCACATTGTCAAATGCATTAGAAACCATCTTCTTCGACACAAATATGGCATGGTAAGTACCACGTACAGTACAATATCGCAATAAATAGTGTCGCGGTGCCAATCAAAATACATTTTCTTCGCAGCACTACATACGACTGACGGACTTTTTTTTTCCCTCTCTTCTTCTTGCTCATAGATTGGTGAACATCGCATAAACTATGACCACTACCGAGTTTTGCAAGAAGTAGACGGCAAAGAGCAACTCCGCATTGTTCCGAAGCTTACCGCTGAACACGTCTGCCCTGACAACATGAGAAAAATGAGTGTGAAGCTCGCAGTACAGGTAAGATTACGAAAAGCTGCTTTTGAAAGAACTTATAGCTTACCTGATTATTTAGGCAAATTCTTCACATGTGAAACACAAACTTAACTGGTACTGTGAAGTGTTCTCCTTAAGTCTTTTTGCGATTAATAAAATGCCCCTATACGTTTTCTGTCCCCTAGCTGCTCAGCCGAAGTACGGCTATCGGCCTTGATGTGTACCGGAGACTCAAGCAAGATGGCCTGGAAGACTGCGAGGGGACAGCCGCGTTTACCCGCATCATAAATGACCTTTTTGATGCCCTGAACATCAAGCTTCCTCGTTTTGGGATAAGGAGCACATCCAAGGAAATTAAGGCAAGGGCGATAAAATGTGCTACTTTTGAAGAACATTCGCAATAGGTAATGTTAATCAAGAACTGAGGCACTGGGCATATAAATAAAATACAAAACGCCGACAAACATTTACACCAACAAAAGCCTAGTTTAAGTAGACATTTATTTTGTAATTGAAGGAAGGTATTATTGAAAGAAAGACGACGAATAAATGTCTTGGAACTTAGAACTTCTCCTTCCAGATAACTGAAATAAACGTCGATGAGAAGGCGACACGCCGCAAGCGTGATTTCAAGTATTACCAGCTTCCATTTTCATTCAGTGGCACACATGTTTCATTAAAAAATCAGGTTAAAAATAACTTTATGCCTTTCTTCAAAGGTCCCTTTTTTTATAGGCGTCGACGTTTGCATGTAAGAGCTAGCTTGCACAAAAAAGTAATGTCTAACATAAACTTTTCCCTTTTCTAGATCATCCAAGATTTCATGATTATCTTGGACTTGACAGAGAGAAACCACGTTGAGAAAGGAACAGCCATGTTCGCATCTCAAGTAACAATGGAGTCTCTAAGGGTGACTTTGTCATCTATCTTGGAACTAACAAATGACCTCCTTGCTAAAGGTGCACGCTACGTGCTCACAGGCAAGCTTAATCAAGACCCCTTGGAGGTGAGATTAGCATAATTCCATAAAACTGCGCACTTACTTCATTGCATGGAAAATAAACAAAACGGTTATGAGGAAGCATAGCGTGGTTTTAAACAGTCGTCATATCTCTATGTGAGATGTGCAATTCCCGCCTGAGACTTGCACTCTATAAATCCTCTTTATGCATTCCATACGCCATGCGTACTTTGACTTCTGAAAGAGATACATACGGTGAACTGACGTACGGCTTTATTACTACCATTACAGAGGTTCTTCGGAATCACCAGGAGCTTTGGAGGTGACGAAGACCATCCGACGATCCTGAGCTTTTCCCATATCTACAGGTTGCTGAGCCTGTACACACCTGTCAAGGCTTCGATTGCAGGCAATGTCCAAGAGGAGCCAACCTTAATACTAGCCACAGTGCAAGAGACGATGAAGCAAGGGAAGAAGCAGCAGCTGGCAACGTATGAAAAGTTGCGTGAGACAATCAGCGCAAAGATTTCCGAGGTTTGCTTGCCTGGAATAAGTTCAGCATCCCACTCGGGACCGACACCGCTTCCGGACCACGGATATGCTTTGCCAGCAGTACAGGAGTGCGTCGTATATTACCTCTGCGGCTACATTGTACATTCTTTTCTGAAGCACGTCAACTGCGCTGCTTGCATAAGCAGCATCCAGTCAACAAACACTAAATTCCCCGCTTCACTACTGACATTGGCAAGAGAATTCAGGAACGGAAGCCTCAAGCATCCCTCTACAGAACTTTACACAATGTTGAAACGCGTCGAAGAAAAACTGTCTCTCGTGCTAGGAGAAAACCATCTGTGCGCCGACATGTTTTGGGATGCGCTGGATGTCATCAAAGACTGCGATGTTCCAAGCGTTGGTTGTTCAGTTCATAAGGACATCCTGACATCGGAGATTGTACACTCATACGTTGTTTTGAGAATGCACTTTTTTACGAGAGATGTTTGTAAGAAGCTGAGTGCTTCTGGCAGGGTGTCTTCTACAAAAAAGAAAGCCAAACTTCTCTAGACTACGCACCAATAAACTACGCAGTGATTTAACATAGAAATGTTGCCAAGTAAAAAAAAAACAGGAACTTGAACAAATGTGTTTGGTGGCTTTTCTTACAGTTATTGCACAGCAACATGCACAGATCTCAGTGAATTAAGGGCTGTAATGAGGACACGGGAACATCGGAACAGCATTAAATAACCTAGCAGGAGTCCCACGTAGAACACAGCCAGCTTACCGGCGACGCATGTCATTGGTTCGAAATTTGGGTATTCGAGTGTCAAACTAAAATGACGCTGTTCTTTTTAATTCGATTGCATTCCTCCCTTCATGAAGAGGTGACGAAGAGATGAAGGAGCTTCTCCAAGCTCCTTAATTCATATCCACTCGATTGGCATTCCGTGTTCCTAGTCATGCACATTCGATACATTTAATTGTCAATCGGAAAAACAATCTTTACACTTAATAAAACTTCTAGGCGCGTAAAACTTTTTTTTCGCCTTTTGATTTTTTTTTTTTTTTTTTTTTTTTTTTTTTTAAGCAAGTGATCTTATCTTCTTTCTAACATATATATGTGTGTCGTAGTAGTAATAAATCAGTTGAAAGTCTGCGCTCGTCCTCGTCTCTTGTGTTAGTTGTCTGAAGTTTTACGCGCCTAGAAGTTTTATATGGATTACCAACTAGCCCAATCCCACACTTTACTTAAGTACACTTAATAAAATAGTTGAATTTGCACAATTTAAAAACTGTATCTACTTACAAACGGTATGCATTTAAAAAATACAAGCCGACTGTTACGAACCATTCTGTTAAAATTTGTTTGTAACTACGTGTTTCTTCTGCAAAAGATTGCTGTGCTGGGAACCAAAAAAAAAAAGTGAGTTGTCTCGTAAGATATACATCATCGTATTATTCTCCCTGACAAGCCACACAGATAACGCACCGCAGCGTAAATGCAGCGGCATTGTATACAATAAAAACATGCGCAAGTTTTCAGAACTCGCGACTGTTTCATTTAGAACGCTTACTGTCGCTTTCAAATAAGAGCATGCTTTTATAGAAAACGCTCAATGTAAGGACTGCACGAGCAATGCGATCTCAAAAAAATTTTCAGGAAATTTCAGTTTATGCTCTCGGAGGCACCTATTCATTAGGCAAGCACAAGCTCATCACATCGAAACACCTGCGGAATGCAGTCAGCACCATCAGCACGTGGCAAAAAGAACCACTCAGACTTCGTTCAGAGCTCCAAGCTGTGTCCACCTTCATCTATGCAGTGGTTGTAGCAGGAAGCTCTCAATATGCATCCGCTAACAAGATTCCTTGAGATATGAAGTGCTCCAAAAACGCTGCGCCGTCCTTCGGAGACGGGGCGCGGAACAGACGACGAGCAGACGACGCACGAAGCTCGTCACATGACCAGGTCGCAAAGCGATCGCAGCGCCCCCGCGTTTTGGGAGACTGTGAGCGGCCACGCCGCTTCCGTGGCGAGCCCATGCAGTTTCCCAACTGGCTCCATCCAGTAACGTTGGTTTCGACGACGGCCGCTTCCCGTGTAACCACCGATCACGGAGGAAGGAAAAGAACCACCGATAATCTGACAGGCAAGAGTGTTTATGGTCACGTGAGAAACGCTGTCATGGGGGGGGGGGGGGGGGGGACGTGCTTTTGCGCGTGGTAGCTGTGCTGGAGCGCTCGCGGGCGCGTGGTTTAGAATTAATTTTACGTTCGTGAGGTTAGTTCGACTGCGAGCATGCGCCATGTCAGGGCAGGTAGAAGAGGCTCGATGATCCCATGCGAAGAAAGCACGACGCTTAGCTCAGGCGATGCGCTGAGAAGTATGGGAGATGCCGAGCTACCGCAGGGCGAAAACACCGGTAAGAATTTTGTGCTGCAGTTTCGCGGCCACTGATTGAACGGTTTAATTGTTCATCTCTTCCAGACGCCATGAATCCGACCAATATCCTGGCGGCCTCGGATCCCATGATGACGAAGCATTGCGGATCCGGCCACTGTCTTTCTGTTTGCAAGGTCGTCTTGGGTGAGCTTTGAAAATTTACTATGTAAAGCTTCGGCAGCAGCACTCGAATATCAATTTATCGAACGATTTTATCGATATTCTGGTCGTTTCTTGAGGCGTTACCCGAAGGCTTTCGTAAGCCGTTTGACGGAGGCGTGCGTGGGACTTTCGAATATATATGCTCGTGATGGAATCGATCTCTGAAATCTTATCTCCTTTTCGCAGATGGCCAGCTGTTATGAAAAGCAGAAGTGTCAGCACCATGGCGAAAATTCTCAGTCAATGCAATAACATCGAATAAAAAGGACTCTGTCAAGAAGGCCAGTGTCTGTATGTGCTCCGTTCGGCAGGTAGGATTTTGTTAATGTGCTAACTTTAAAAGAAAAACTTTATTTGGGAAGTCTTCTTGGTTGATTGCGTTTCTTTTCGCAAGACTGTGCTATAAGGGTTTATCACAAAGTTAATCATTTTTTTATAGTTTTGCAATGTTAATAATCGTGCTTGCAGTTTTGCAGGTAAGGAGCGATTCATATTCGCAAAAAACCTTCAATGGACTGAGCTGTGCACAAGTACAGCAATGCGCGCAAAAAGTTGGCAGTCAAGTTATAAATATCTGTGTACGATCATCCCTACTGAATATGTGTGATGGGCAGTGTGACCATACAAGCTATTCATTGGATACCTTTAAGCTGTGTAGTTTGCAGTAATCAATCGTTCACTCTGGCAGTGCGTCCTCTGGGGCGTTTCCTTCGCTCATCTTCACGATCAAATACTTTTCAATAAAATTCTAGATGACAAAAATACAAGGATGTGCTTACAAGAAATATCAGTAACTTGTTTTACACAAATGTGGAACTACTCGCACGCTAATGCTCAGGATTTCAGGTTCTCTATCAGAGTTCTGCTTCATGTCGCTACAAATGTGCTGTTTAACGAGCTCAACTTTAAATTAAGATTGCCATATTCAGCATAGCTCAGGCTGTTGAATCTCGCTTCAATGTTTAAGCGTCCTGTTTGGCTGAGGTAGCAGAGCGGCCACAGTAGGAAAGCATTGGCTCCCGGGTTCCATAACATTTCTTGCCGGTTAGTGTTACAGGATGCCCGTACAAATAAGTGGCATTTGACGTAAAGTGCATGGCATGATCTGGTACATATCAGTGAACCTCAATTCAGGAAACTTTCAGGTTTAAAAAGATTGTGATTAGGATGGTGTAAATATCGATGACGTTTTAACAAGGCAGTGCAACATATTGACAAACATTTGTTGCCCTTTGTGTTATCGCTCAGACCTAAGTATAACGAATGTAAAAATTCAGTATCATCTATTCAATCTAAGTAAATAAAAGTTGTCCTCTCGTAGATGTAGTGTTACGAATACACATGTATGGCATATTTTTGGACATACATTTATGCCATATTTTCAGATTAACTGTTAAAAGTTCGAAAGATATCATTTTGCAAAAATTCTGGTTTCGGCTTTCTTGGTGGTGACTGAAAAATCGAGATAGATACAAATATACAAAGAACTTTGCCCTACAGGGAATAGAACCCAGGTCTTCTGCTTGGCCATGCCAGGGCTTGAAATCGTGCCATGCCGGGGCTTGAAACAGTGCCATGCCGGGGCTTAAAATCGTCTTGGAAGGACAAAAAAAAACATTATAGTACGAATGTTGTAGAGTGTGAGGAATATTCCTAGTACATGTAATATTGCGTGGCAGATGAGTAAATTTACTCAAGGTTTGAAAGCATGCTAATTGTGCAATGATTTTGTGGCAATTATTTTGTGGCTGCCCATCCATTATAATGCACTTAAGGATACACTGAAACGTCGATAGAATGAATCCCGGATATAACGACATATTGTTTATAACATAGTAAATGAAGACTGGTCTTGCGCTAGATATAGTGTCATGAATATACCTTTATAATGAATTTTTGGATATAATGAACATATTTTTGAGCAAGATGCGATTTTGCTATGATGAGGCTTCAGTGTAAGTAATTATCTCCCGCTGCGGTGGTCCAGTGGCTAAGGTACTCGGCTGCGGACCCGCAAGTCGCGGGATCGAATCCCGGCTTTGGCGGCTGCATTTTCAATGGAGGCGGAAATGTTGTAGGCCCGTGTGCTAGATTTGCGTGCACGTTAAAGAACCCCAGATGGTCGAAATTTCCGGAGCCCTCCATTACAGCTTCTCTCATAATCATATGGTGGTTTTGGGACGTTGAATCCCACATATCAATCAATCAAATAATTATCGTCAACAACAGTATCAACAGTGCGCTAGTGAGTATGTTGCCTTCTGGGCACGTAGTGGGTGCTTCAAGGATTCAGAAAAAAAAAAGAGCTAGGGTGCAGTTGGCTCTTCGCAGCTTTACTTGTTGTAAACGGTTTAGAATAGTTGTAAACGGTGAGTGCTACATGCACAGAGGTACCTTTCCTCATGCCACATTTGAAGGGACTCTAAGAGTAAACCAATTTTTCGCATATTGGTGAAGTACAATTTCATATTTCCAAAAATACACTCTTACCACGACACGATGCTTTGTGAGTAAATGCGTGAAAAAAAAATTTCGGTGGTGATGAGATTTCCACACCAAGCACCGTGACATAAGAAATTTTGAAGGCGTCTACTTGGTCCTAATGAGCTTTCAGTCAATAAGAATGAAGTGTAGTCAACTCTCACTCATTCAAACTCGAAAGGGCATCTGAATCAAAAAGTTTGAATTATCAGAAGTTCTCAGATAGATGACTCTTGGTGAGGTGACGTCACAAATTATGATTAGGCATTTATTTTATCACATAAAAAAAAATTTTTAAGTATTATTAAACCCTAACTGCGCACAATGAACAAAAAGCAGAGGTGTAAGGTCCGCATGTTTATTGGCCATTTACGGCTGATGAAACCTTGTTAAAGAAAATGCGAATCGCCAACTGCTTCTTTGCTAGAGGTGTGTGCCTTCAGGAGAAAGTTCTCTATACCAGTTAAGAAGCATCACGGTTTACCATGTGTGCGCTTTGTCTCAAACATTTGTTTACTAGCAAAGACGTTTTCCTTGAATGGCTAATGTGCTTGTTTTTATTTTTAGGCTGTTAGGATTATATAAGCTCATTAATTTTTAATAATGTTGGGAAAGCAGCAGACAATTTCTTGTATGGAACTGTAAGAAGTATGAAATAACCAAAAGATAGAGTTTGAATTAGCAGGCTTTTATATACATTGAAACATTAGAGTGCCAATTAAAAAATTGAATTTTGTTTGATTTAGCTGAAAGTATGAATTAAGGAATTTCGAATTATTGAGAGTCAATTGTACATTGCAATCTGTGGGTGCCATAGACTTAGCATACAGAGTTTTAGAAAAGCTCGTCGAGTCAGTGCCACGAATATGCCACGCATACATTTCGAAATTTTCAATGTCTCATGTGGAAATTTTAGTGTGAAATTTTCAAGAGAATCTTCATCCTTGATTCTATACTCAAGTAATGACCTTTTGTTACTGTAACATATGGCGCTAGAGTTTCCAGAGTCCAGTGTGTCAATGTAGACTTTGCCATTGTTCCGATTTAGTGTCCCATTCAAACGTTCAGCAACAAGCAAAGCGATGCTAGCCATTGAGGAGATGCGAATACAACACAACTATGCTATTGTGTTGTACTCTTGACGGCAAAGCTAAAACATCCTGCAAGCTTTTTTTTTTTTTGTCAGATGTGACTCCGTTATACAGTGGACTTTCAGGGAACCGAAATCTGTTAAACGGAGCTGATCCTTAAATGGAACAATTGCCTCTGATGTGATTGGTTGCATACTTGTATGCCAAATCCCTGTTCATCTTCCAGTAAATAAAACATTAACATATTTTGCTGGTCTCTTTATGTTTCCTTTATTGAAGGTCTAAAGTAATGGGTTTTGAGTGTAGTTTCCCTGGTGTGGCTCCTTAGTTTTTTGTCAGTCGGTATAGACCAAGAATTGTTAATAGCCCGCGAAATTAAATGTGACATTCCACAAGGCACTATCTTGGGGCCACTCTTATTCATTATCTATATAAATGATCTTACAAAGGTTCGAAAGCACAGCGTAACTACATCATGTATACAGACAACACCAGTATCCTTTGAGCTTGAATGGATCCTAATCCCATAACAGAGCGTGGGAATCATATACTGGAAAAATAAATGAGTGCTCTGTCATAAACTCCCTAATAATGAACCCTTTAAAAGCAAAAGCTGTTTTATTCTGCCCAAAATCGATATCAAGTAACTTATGGAGACGTCTTACACTTCAATCACTCTGTCATTGAAATATATTCTACAGCTAAATCACTAGAAGTAGTTTTTAAGGAATGTATGCTTTGGGGCTACCACACCGACTACCTTTGCACTCAACTTTCGAAAGCTTTAGGTGGTGCTGAAAATGTGTATGCATTTTCTTCGTCTATCGCAGCACACTGCTTTATTCGAATCGCACTTGCGCTACTGTCATCTTGTGTGGGGAAATTGTTCTAAGAAAGCTTTGTATAAAGTTATTATAATGCAGAAAAATGCAGTACGAGCGATTGCCAATCAGCCATATGGTGCGCACACATCTCAGTTATTTTAAAGCTAGGCAAGATATATGAACTTAAGCTACTATCTTCCACAAGATCTGATACACGTAAGAACAGAAATGACTTGATAACTCTTTCAAACTTGCAGCCAAACACTTTCTCATATGTGCCTTGAGGGACGCAGAACTCTGGCATGTACCACGACCGCGAACAAACAATGGTTTGCAGGTGTTGCAGTCCAGCGTCTCTCAAATGTTAAATAAATTTACTCTTATAATGAAAATTTTGCGTGCACTTTCAAATAATAAATTGCTCTTGCTTCACGTATAATTGCCTGTTATTCCCTGGTGTTTTGCTTTTTAGTTGTAATTTTGCATGTACCCACTGTTTTACTTGTAGTTATAACAAATTTTTACTTTTGTTATCTTTTGTGCACATGTTTTGTTTACTTCCCTTAAAGTGTCTGCTATATATATATATGTATATTTTAATAGCTTTGTTTTGTGATTCAAAAACACTTTCTGTATATGCTTTAATTTGCTTCTGCTAAAGTGTCCATTGCTGGGTAATGCGAGGTGGGGCCAGTCACGCTACATATATGTAGCCTTTTTCTCACCTTTCAGAACTGGCTAACCTCCCTGTCCTTCCTCTTTCAATCCTCCTCCCCTCATCTTTCAAACCACATCTGAAGTTTTCGTACCTTGCGTGGCAAAATAAACCAAGCTTAAAACCTTTTTGCAGTGGTGACTGTTTTGAGCCTCTGCCATTTTCTTAGTTTTGACTATGTGTTGGCACTCAAATGCAAACACATGTTAATAACGCCACCTGTTACCCCCCCTCCCCCAACAACTAGAGTTCTTGCAATTTCACAGTTGAGCGACACCGTTGGAGAGCAGGTGCACTTTTCAAAGCAGCTCCTGAGCCTCCGCGGTGGCATGCTCTTCTGCACGGTGGGTATCCTGCTGCGCCACTTGCAGCACAACAGCAACCTGCTGGGAATCTCTCACGGGATTGTTGAGGAGCTGCACGAGCGCGACGTTCGCACAGACTTCCTACTGGCTCTCCTATGTGGGCTGCTCTTCAAAAACGCCACTCTCAAGGTAGGCTTTTCAAATTTTTTTTTTACAACAAGGCTGCCTTAGTCTGCCCTGTGCTGTTGTCATTAGGCTTGTGCGAATACTTGAAGGCTTCGGTTATTCAAACAAACAGGTGCACATTAACCTGCTTGCAAATTTCTGTAAAGGTGGTTTCTCTGCAGCGGAGGGGTGTTAAGCCGTGAAGGCACTTATTTAAGTGTTACACTGCACTAAAGTGGTGCCAAACCATGAGAACACACAATAAGGAGAAATTTGCTTTACCATGAAACCCCTCTTCAACGTCAAGTGAGAATGTTACTTTCGCATCGATTGATAATTTTTTTTTGTAGTTTAAAAGCTTGTGATACCAACTTGTGACTCCAAGTACAGGAAATATTTTTTTAAAACTTAACTTACCGGCTATGACTTGCATTGTACTGAAAGTAGAACACCGCCCCGCTGCGGTGATCTAGTGGCTAAGGTACTCGGCTGCTGACCCGCAGGTCCCGGGATCAACCGGCTGCAGCGGCTGCATTTCCGATGGAGGTGGAAATGCTGTAGGTCCGTGCGCTCAGATTTGAATTCACGTTAAAGAACCCCATGTGGTCAAAATTTCCGGAGCCCTCCACTACGGCGTCTTCCATAATCATATGGTGGTTTTGGGACACTAAACCCCACATATAAACCGAATCGATCGAAAGTAGAATTTTGCTTATTTTCAAAACTGTTTCGGCTTTCTTTGGTGACACGAAATGGCATTTTAACAGGCTTTGTTACATTTTTTCAAAATATTGTCCACGTTAGACAGGTCACAACAAATCTGCCCATTTTTTTCATATTATGCAGTATATATACTGTTCGATTACAAACTGTGACCAAAATTGCTGTTTGTTTTGAAATCGCATCTCAACTATTCACACAAGCCTCGTTGTCATAGTAGTAGTAGTACAGTTGATCTTTGATATTTCAAACTTATATATATCGCATTATTGGTTATATCAAACTGTTGAGAAATTCCCTCGAATTTCTCATGCAAAAGTGTGAGGCTGCTGCACAAGTATATGAAAATCGGACGCAGCGGAACGTCCGCTATATCGAACGCTGTGCCGTGCTGAAGCCCAGGAATCCGATTCATCCTAACAAATATTGATCATTTTTAGGCGGTGTTTTAACAAGTTCCGATCTAACAAGCTCAACTTCTGCTTTGGGGGATCGTGTAATCATTTGTAATGCTTTGTCAAGCTCGATTGACACTGCGGTTATTTTGTCGGGCACTGCCAGCATACCAGCTATCCGAAGGCACTTTTCAATGCAAAATTTCTCGTATGATGTTTCTTGCATGCGGTATGCATTTCACACTGTGCATTGATCACTGTACTGCCCATGTACCTTCTGGCCAGGTCCCGATGCATTTTCTCAGGCGTTTCTTTTTCATGCGTCGCTAGCGCTGCAGTGCTCTTTCAAGTGCCAACATTATTGCATTTTCATTCAATTTAGAATTTGGTGCCATTTTTTTTTCATATTGTAATCTTCAAAACGTCCTGTAATGCAGTGCTGTCTTCAAAACTATCATGAAAAAAGGCCGTTAAGGTATCGTTAACAAATTCATGAAGGAAATTTATATCAATTTTAGTTTTTTCTTTCCCTCCTGCAGGTGATTCTCATGAATGCAACTGTCACTGAAAAGTTCTCCAAGTACTTCCACGACGCCCCCATCATCAGGATTTCAGGAAGAACGCATCCAATCACCCAGGTCTTTCTGGAAGACCTCATTGCAGAGAAAATCATTACCAAAGCTTCGTTAGAAAAGGTATGGCATGTACAGTTAGGTGGGCGTTCCGTTTTCATGCAAAACGTTCATGAATGGGCCCTTTTCGTAATTTGCAAGTGCACTTTTCTTCACTACTTATTTGGGCTAGTAATGGCCGCACCTGTCGTGCTCCAAGCGAAGGCGTGGTCCTAGTTCAATGTGCTGGGTCTTGTCTATTATGAGTGCTTAGAATATCAAGAGAGGCGGCTGAACATTTTTCACATCATTGCGTAGGCAAAGCTAAAACATCCTGCAAGCAACATCGTGAGTGACTGCAAGTGCTAAACTTCTCAGAATCACTAAAATGGTGCTGTCTCTTCATCACTTCTCTTTCTCTAGGGTGGTGTATCGTCGAACATCATTGTTGAATAGTAAAGGGTACCAGGGAAAAGAAATGCATGATCCCTGGAAAGCTGATATTGTTGCGTGTAGCACTAGTAAAAAGTTTTCTATGAAATATATGTATACTTCCCTGCAGAGGTATGTAGGCTGAGGTGTTTTCTTTATTTTGTGGGTAAATCTGATAAAACTAAGTGGAATTTTTTAGTTTTGGGCTGATATCAAACACACTATATGCATGAATTCATCTTTGAGGTTAACTACCATACTTGAGGAAGTAGACAAAGCTGTTTCTGTTATTTAGGGACAGTTTAGGAAAATTTTTCAGCACAAAGTGAATAATATTAGATACTATAGTGTACATCATAAACACATACATGATGTTATCAGTGATGAACGTTTTATGCATGTGTTGTTGCCTTTCAGGACTTGTCGGCATTATACTGTAACTGTTGGTGCTTTTGGTATGTTTCCTCCAGAGCCGTGACGACCCGGTCAAAATAGTGCCCGACGTTTTGGTGTACCTCATGGAGATAAGCCCAGCTGGAACGAGATTAACGTGCAGGCTTGCGGTGCAAGCGAGCGCCAGCCAAGTTTCACGAATGGATTTTGCCCCTCCACTCCCGTCTCGATTACCAAGGGCAGCAAAAGATCTTTGCAAGTCCTCCACCGGGTTGGTTTTGTCGATTGGTTCTGCCATGGTCATTAGATGGTTTGACATGGGTGTCAGATGTGCATGATGCTGTACACCAGATGAGCTATATGTGACTGCAAATGCTGAGACGGCATGTTTTAAATTCTGGATTGACTGTTATACCTAGGACATGTGGGTGCCGCTATCTTGGGCTGATAAGTTGATGTTTTCTTGTTTTCGTAGACTGTGATGTCAATAAGGCTGGGAAACGTTGTATGCAACAACTCTACTGTTTTCATGTGTGTGTGTCTATCATAACGCTTTTAGTTAAGTTGCGAAAGATATAAAACACAAAGTTTAATAGCCCTACAATGGCGACACTGAAACCCACTTTCTAAATAGTCTGTGCAGGATGCTTGAAACAGTCATGAATTTTTACTTTAAGAATGGAAACTTGAACATTCGCCAAATTTTGCAGCCAATTCCAATTACGTCATAGATATTGCAGCCTAAAAACAGCAAACCTGTGTTTTCTAATAAGCCTAACTTCTGTTCAGCAGGGCATAAAGTTAATGTGGACTCTTGGTTGCACAGCTCTCTTTGCAGAAGTAGGCCAGATTGAGTGCTGGCTTTGTTGGCGGAGCTCGTGCTGAATTATCGTGTTGTCAGCGAGAACAGGTTGTTGCCGAGTATTGCCACAAGATGTTGCCGAGCACACACGGAACTGCATAACAAACACTCGTAGTGAATTAGTTGTTACAACGAACTAAATAGGAACTTCAGTTGCCCACACCTCATTTCTGTATTAATTTTGCAAGGAAACCGAAAACGTGAGCGCCACCGGCGCTTTTGCCTGAAACGGAAGAAATATTTGGCCTGCTCACGGCTCGTAACTTAAAACATAGCATAAAAAGCAAACTAAATATGGAAAGGCAATTCATTAACGCGTTTTTTTATGTGGCTGTGACATTTAACATTCCTTTATAGTCGCACTTCTCTTAATGTGAACCAGCGCTGTTTTGTCAAACAAACTTTGTGTTCTGTGCTATTTTCAACTTATCATGTTTTTAGTTTGTGTCGTGTGAATGCTGCTAGGATAAAGAGTTAAGCTCTTTGGGTATGAAGCCTAGAATTATTTGTCCTAAGTGCGTAACACTTTAAAGGGCCCCGTTTGTTTGTCCATCCACTGCCATACGTTGTCTTGCAGTCGTCTATGGTCTTGCATATATGGTCTTGCAGTCGTCAAGCACAAGTCTAACACATGGCCACCATTGCTTAGGGACACTAACGAGCAAAATGGTTTTTCAAATATTAGCACTCTTTCTGTGTCTTGATGCTT